CGCGGGCGCCCGAGGAGCTCGAGCGGCGGGGGTTGACCACGTCCTCGATTCGGCCGATTTGCCCGCGCATGGAGGAGCGCTTGGTCGGCTGAGGTCCGCGAAACGGGGAGCGGAACGAAAAGGAAAGGAAAGGAAAGGAAAAAAACGAATCCGCCCCCCTCTCCTCTCCTCCCTTCCCATCACCACCACATGCAAAAGAATGTATTATATTTATATATATAGCATAACCCCTGAGGGATTCCTGTAAAGTGTTGCGGATGCATCCAAAAAAAAAAAAAAATGGGTAAGGCGTCAAGTTAGCTGGGATGGAAAGGTCTTGGGAGAGGTGAGTTCGTTTATCACGCCCTTCTTCTTTATCTTTTTCTTTTTTTCTTTGGTTTTGCTTCCCTTGGTGTGGGGTATGGGGGTTGAATTTTTGAATGGTTAGTTGGAAAAAGAATACATATATACTCATCGTTATCCATTCATTTAGGATTCAATTGAACAACGGAAGCCTTTCGAACGCGGTCAACCAACTAGAACCCCCCCCACCCACCCCTCCTTTGCACGAGGCATGTCGAGTTTGAAAGAAACGCTACGCGATATCAAACACGAGGTACTCCTCACCATCGACGAGGACGATCTTGCGGAGACGAATCGGACTGCGATCCTCGCGCGGGTGGCGATCGCCGCGCTGAAACGCTTGGAAATCGCGGCGAAGGAAAACGAGCGAGACGCAGGGTCTCATGCCATCGCGCGAAACGCGCGGAAATCGCTGCAACGCCTCGCCATCGCGCCGGGTGAGTCCCTTTCGACGACGGATCCCCATCTCAACCCCCCAGGGAAGCCAGAGGAAACGGAAAATCGAAAGAAACCCCGACGGGAAGCCCCCAACGCGGACGAAACGCGTCAAACCGGGTGGGATATGGGGCAGTACGCGACGGCGAACGCCTTCGACGGGGATGCGGCGAAGCAGGCGAAATTTAGCCGATTGATGGGGGGTGCGAAGAAACGCCCCGTCGATGGGGATCCGTCCGATCGTGTGGGTTCGAGCCATCGCCCGATTTCTTCTTCTCCCCCCCCCCCCTCGCATCCGTTGAATGCCACCCTCCATCCGACGAAAGCGGCGGATGCGCAGACGATGAAGCGGATTCAACACGATTTGGAGGTTCAGTTCGACGTGTCGGTGCATCATAAGGGGAAAAAAGGATTAGGAGCGTAGCGCAGGGGAAACAAAAGGAGCATCCGAAACGAACCCTTTCACAGGGGGGGGGATGGATAGATATGGTTCGTGGTTCCCGAGTTGAAACTTTCGAAAACGCACGCGCGAATGAGGTCGGCATATAAAGGGATTTTAAAACCGAATCGCTTAATTGCTGAAAGGGAAGGTATCTCATCTTTGGTTTGCCCCCTTGGTAACGTATAACATTAACTCCCCTCCTGTGTTCAAAAAAAATTAAGAAAATAAAAAGTTTAACAATGTGAAAAGGCAAAACGAACAATAAGGTCCCTTTGGGAAGCCTTCCCTTATTTTCGTGCATTTTTTCCATGTTTACTTGCCCATATATTTTTATATGTGTATAATTCGTAAGAATGAGCAGAATTCATTTTTTCCCCGACGTGGTCTGTTTTTCGTCTTTCTTTTTCGCTTTCATGGGGGTCGAAAAATTCAAAAAAAAAAACATCCGTTTTATACTGAAAAGCTGCAAACCCTAACTCATTGTTTTTGGTAACTCCTATATTAAGGAAAAAAGGAAAAAAAAGGAAATATTGATATCTTCATCGATCTATCGACCGCACAAAATCACCCCCTCACACACACACACACACATACAAAAAAAAAAAAGGAAAACGCAATCATGATGCGTCGTTTAACCTGTCAAGGACCTCTGCTCCGGCGAGGGCTCCTCGCGGCGACGCGTCGTCATCAGGCCTCGGGGGCTGCGGAGCGTCGTCTTTTATACGAAAACGACTCCTTCCTCAGCGGGAGCTCCGCGATCTACATCGAGCAGCTCTACCACGATTGGAAAAAAGATCCCACCTCGGTGGATCCCTCGTGGCGGGAGATTTTCACCTCCCAGGGGCTTCACGATTACGAGCAACCCCTTCTTCCGCATCCGATTCGCATCCTTCCCCCGGAGGGCGCCACCGCGGGGGAGATTAAACAATCCTTGGAGGATTGCGATAAACTCACGCGGATGATCAGGTCGTTTATCGAGAACGGCCACCTCGCGGCGAAGACGAACCCGTTAGAGGATGACGAGGAGCTCGTCGACTCCGGGATGGGCGCCTCGGGAACGAAATCGCACGCGTTGAACGAGGCCTTCGATTTCAGCCTCGCGCACTTTGGGTTTTCCCCGGCGGAGGCGGAAAAAGTGGTGAAGGTGGGGTTTCTGGATGAGGTGGGTGGGGTTTTCCGCACGGATTCGGCCCCGATGACGATTCGTGGGCTTTATGAACTGCTGAAACGTCGGTATTGCGGCAAAATCGGGGTCGAGTGCTCCCATGTCAATCAAGAGGACGAGATGCGGTTTATTCGCACCGATATCGAACTCGGGGGTGGGGATAGCCTTCTGAATCACGAGTTTACCAAGGACGACAAGCGGTTTATCTGGGACCTCGTCGCGTCCTCGGTCTTTTTTGAGGATTTCTTCACCCGGAAGTACTCCACGCATAAGCGGTTTGGTTGTGATGGGGCGGAATCCCTCGTCGTGGGGCTTCGCGCGATTTTGGAAACGAGCGCGAGCTACGGGGTGGAGAAGATCAACCTTGGGATGGCGCATCGGGGTCGGCTGAATGTCCTGCACAACATCATCGGCAAGCCGTTTGAGGTGATTCTGAAGGAGTTTCTCGGGCTCTCCCGGGGCGAACTCGCGCCGTTCGCGATGCAGGCGGATGTGAAATACCACCTCGGCTGCCGCGCCGCCCTCCCGCTCCGCGGCGGGCGCCGGATCGAGACCGAGATGCTCTTCAACCCCTCCCATTTAGAGGCGGTGAACCCGGTGCTGCAGGGCTTCACCGCGGCGGAGCAGCTCACCCGCGGCGCCGCCGCGGTGCTGCCGATCGAGATCCACGGCGACGCGTCCTTTGCCGGCCAAGGGGTCGTCTACGAGGCGATGGGGCTCGCCGCGACGCCGAAGTTGGGGACCCACGGCACCATCCACGTCGTCTGCAACAACCAAATCGGCTTCACCACGGACCCGACGGCGAGTCGGAGCAGCGTCTACTGCACGGACCTCGCGCGGGTGTTGGGGTGCCCGGTCCTGCACGTCAACGGGGACGCCCCCGAGGCGGTCTACCGCGCCGGCGTCTTCGCGGCGACCTACCGCGCGCGGTTTCGCCGCTCCGTCGTGGTCGACCTCGTCTGCTACCGCCGGTTCGGGCATAACGAGAACGACGACCCGCGGATCACGCAGCCGCGGATGTACGCCCGCATCCAGGCGATGCCGAACCTCTTTCGCAAGTACTCCGACGCGCTCATCGCGGAGCGGGTGATCGCCTCCGGGGAGTTCCTGACGAAGGCGATGGAGATGAAAGCCCGGTATGGCGGCGCCGCGGAGGCCGCGAACGGGGTCGCCTACGCGCGGTACCTCCGCGAGAGCATCCCACCCAAATGGCGCGCGATGAAGCACTCCGATGAGCCGGGGAACGTCGTGCAAGGCCGGACCGCGATCACGCCCGAGGTCGTGGAGGCCACCCGCCGCGCGTGGGAGCGGCTGCCCGCCGGGTTTGTCATTCATCCACGCCTCCGTGGCGAACTCGCGCGGCGGCGGCGGAGTTTTTCGCTCGTCTCGCCATCCACCGGGTTGAAATGGGCCGACGCGGAGGCCCTCGCGTTCGCCGGGTTGTTGTGGGAGGGCCACGACGTCCGCGTGATCGGGCGCGATGTCGAACGCGGCGTCTTCGCCCACCGCCACGCCGTCCTGCACGATTACGAAAAAATCGGCACCTTCACCCCCCTTCAACACCTCCAACCCGTCGACGAGCTCGCGAGCCCGACCAACACGGGTGGGGACGGGCAGCCCGCAGGCGCCACGCGAACCCTCGGGCGGTTTATGATCTCGAATACCCCGTTTAACGAGTACGGCGGGCTCGGCTACGCCGCGGGGTTCGCCCTGGAGGATCCGAATCGGTTGGTGTTATGGGAGGTCCCCTACGGCGACCTCGCCAGCGGCGCCGCGATCGTGTTCGACCAATTCCTCTCCGCCGGCGAGGCGAAGTGGAATCAACCGCAATCCTGCATCGTCGCCCTCCCACACGGGTATGACGGGGAAGGCCCGGAGCACTCCAGCGGGCGACTCGAGCGCTTTCTGCAAATGAGCTCGGAGGACCCCGAGCGGATCGCGCCGTCCGTTACCGAGGCCGCGACCGGGAATTACTTCTCCCGCGCCGGCCGTTCGCATCGGGTGAATTGGGAAATCGCCTTCCCGACGACCCCGGCGCAGTACTTTCACCTGCTTCGCCGGCAATGCAAGCGGAATTACCGCAAACCGCTGATCCTGTTCTTCTCGAAGCGGTTTCTCGACGCGCCGAACGTCTCGTCGCTCGCGGAGGTGTTGAAGGGCGGGTTTGAACCGCTGTTGAAGGATCCCACGGCGGCCGCGCGGGGAACCCGGCGGGTGGTGTTTTGTACAGGGCAAATTTACCACCTCTTGCAGGCCCATCGCGCCGCGAAGGACGGCGCGCGGGCGGGGGGGTTGACGGCCTCGGAAAGCGCCAAAACGGGGGGAAATCAATCGGAATCCTCGCGGGAATCCCCCCTTCATGATATCGCGCTGATTCGGTTGGAGGAGTTATCCCCATTCCCCGCGGCGGAGGTCGCCGGGGTGTTGCGGGAGTACCCCGACGCGGAGTTGGTGTGGGCGCAGGAGGAGCCGCGGAATATGGGCGCGTGGGCCTACGTCGAGCCCTTCTTCGACGCGATCACCCAGGGGAAACGACCGCTGCGGTACGTCGGACGCCCCATCGCGGCCTCCCCGGCGACCGCGGGGAAGCAAAAACACGAATCGATGCAGCGCCACATCTGTGAAAGCGTCTTTGAGGATTAAAAAAAAAAATAGTTATATATAAAAAAAAATGAACCAACGAAAAAAAAAAAATAGAGGGTGGGAGGGGAAGGGGGAGGGGGAGTGAAAAAAAAAATTTTCTTTTTTACAAAAAGAAAGAGAGAGAGAGAAAGGGGGAAAATGGGATGGTAGTTATATATATATGTATATATACATAGATACATGAAGAGAAAAAGGAAATTGTGTTTTAGGGAGTTTGGAACCGGAACTGGGTCGCTCCCCTTTCATTTTTTTTATGGATTATGGTTGCGCAAAACTTATATAGGTATTATACTGAAACGATATACATACATATATATATATATATATGTTAATGTTTAACAAACGCAGAGAAAGAGGGATAGGGTTTTTTGAGGGATCCTTTTCTTTCCCCCTTATTCACTATCGTAAAATGGTACGAATTGGCATTCTGAGGTCAGAGAAACGTGCGGAGCATCTCCCCTGGACAAGTGACCTTCAGAAGATAAAAGTGTAGGGTATTTCACATCTTTTTTCTTTAGAAAATGAAAAAAACGAAAGTGATAGTTATAGGGACGAACAAAAAATAAATTTATTCATGTTTAGTTTTATCTTTTCCTTCCGCGCTCTCTCTCCCTCCTGCTGCCGATCATCGCTCTGCGAAGCGGGTGAGAAAATCTCAGCCTTGGCTTTAGTGTGATTATTATTATTATTTTCAAATAGCTAACCCAAAAAAAAGTGATTTGTCTAGGATAAAACAAACATAAACATAAGGAAGAAATGAAAAACTAATGAATATGTTAGCACTGTTCTTTTAGACTACTTGATCCACAGATCTTTTTTTTTGTTGGTATGTGTGCACTACGTCGGTACTAATCGTTCACATTTTCTTCCTTTTGATAGGATTTCTTTTTTCCCTCCTCTTTTATCGGTTTTATCTTTGATTTTTTATATATGCTGGTTAATGGTCTCGGTCGTAGGAAGCAAAAAGAGTTGTGGAAAACTATGTACAGCATGATGTGTGGTTTTCTGCTTTTATATTTGTTTTGCTTTGTCTGGGGAGGGGAACACGATCATGTATGAACGCAGGGCGAATACCTTAAAAGGGTAGAAGGAGCATCGTTTGGATTTCTATGTGCCGCAATAGTCTTTTTGTTGAGAAAAGGAAACGTGAGTGTTTTCACTTCTTTATTTTGCGCGATAAAGTTAACTGAATACGCACGATGAAAGGAATCTTTCAGGACTACACCACAACGTGGGAAACGAACGATAAGGTTGTGGTCGGCATGCGAATTTTCTTTTCTCCCTCCCATATTGTTTTAGACAAAAAAAAAGGGAACGACGTGCGGGCTCCTAATTTTTATTTCTAGCAAAACATATATATATCTATATCTATATATAGTGAAATTATATTGATTATAACTGTTATAACAAAAATAGCCGTAACTGGGACCATTACAATAAGCGATTTTATAGGATGCTTCGTCGGTGCCAGAGAGTGTTGATGGATGGGCAGTATATGAATCGTGTATATGAGCTACGCATGGATCAAATAAAACCCGCAAAGTACGAGGCGGTGAAAACCATATTTATGAAGGAGATGCCCAAACGACCGGAAGCGGGTGTGTGTTTGGGTTTTTGGGATGTGCAGGTGGGGGCGTTTAACCAGTTCGTGGTGATTTGGCAGTTCAAAAGCCTCACCGATCGCAGCGAATGCCTGAAAAGGCTGCATGAGGATAAAGAATGGCAGCGCAACTGCATCGAACCGATGAAACCGCTGCTGCGGTTTCAATCCAACATGCTCATGCGGATGATCTACCGCGAGAGCAACGTCAGTCGGTTGTCGTATCATTATTTACTCCAATTCACCGATGCGAAGGATGTGGAGCTGCCGCAGGATGCAATTTTAGCGGCGACCTTTCAAGTTGTGGTGGGTTCGCTCGAGGGTAAATACGTGCATTTGATAAAAAACCTCAACCCCGACGGGATCCTTCCACTCACGCCGAAGCTGGGAAATTCTTCCCTGGTGATGGGACCTGCACGATGCGCGCCTATTATGGGATGCATATGGCGATAGTTTACTAGTTTGATTCTTTGTTCTGTTGAACCATTTGTGAATTTATTTATTTCTTTATTTACTTATTTATTGGCTGATACAAACTCATGACTTAATATAGCACACTTTTCAAAAAGTGGTCATGTTTTCCTTTTTTTCAGCTTCACTCTATTGAGGAACAGGGATCCTTTTTAGATGATGTATTTTAAATGAAGAAAAAATGAAAAAGCTACAACTGGTAGCTCTCAGTTATCAAAAAATAATGTAATGTTTTCTTTTCATGCTTCACTTGTTCGCATCGAAACGGGAAGATACGTACACAAAATAGAATAAAATTTATGTTCGAGGGTCTTATACACCTTATTGGCTGTCAACCTATGTTAGTCAAAGGGGAAAAAATAAGAAAACACTGGCAAAAAATACGGCTAATTGGACCTAGGATGGCTGATTAATATACTTTGGCTGCTGTTGATGACGATGTTTTTTTTTGAGGCGCTACCTCCGTGAACGGGAAAAAGTCAAATAATGAGTGTTTATCTAGCACGTTAATCTGTTCACACACTATCTATCCTTTCTTCTTGTTTCTCCCCCTCCTGTATTTCTCTTGGAAATATTCTTCTGCTATAAAAATATTAGTCAATTTTAAAAAAGGAAAAAGCTGCGATTCCAAAGGAAGCAGTAAGAAAATAAGAGGTGAGAACGGTATCATGGTAAAAGTCAAGTAGTGGGCAAAATCCCAAGCTTGCTAACCCCACCCTTAAGGATATTATTCAATCAATCAATCAATATATATATATATATATATATATCACCATCGATATCTTCTCTCTCGTTTTTTTATCCCATTTCATGTCCGTTATGAAACAGACTGCCTTCCCTTTTGAGCGCGTCTTCGTGCTTAATTTAGATCGCCGCCCCGATCGTCTGCGTTTCATCCGCGAGCAGCTCTTCGATCGGGCGGGTTTACTCCCTTACGCCGCGCGCATCCAACGCGTGGCGGCGGTGGATGGCGAAAAGCTGATTTCTTCTCGGTTTTCAAAATCCCCCACGCAGCTGTTTCGCGTGGGATTTCTTTCAAAACTCGGCGCCCGTCGTCTGCGAGAAACGGATCCTTCGCGGAAGGTGTGGGGGATGGATCTGAACCCCGCTGCGGTGGGGTGTGCGCTCAGTCATATCGAGCTTTGGGCGCGAATCGCCGCCCTCTCGGCTTCGTTTTCATTCTTTTCGTCCTCTTCCTCATCCGTTTTATCGTCCTCGTCGCCTTCCCGAACGTGTTATCTCGTGCTCGAGGATGATTCGCTTCTCCCGGAAAACTTTCTGGAGTGTTATCGAGCCCGTGTGGCAGGGATTCCCACGGTGGAAATGGGGTGGGAGTTGCTTTATCTCAGCGGGATCGACGCGGCGGGGGAAAAACAAAAAAACGAGCTGCAAATCGCCCCCGGGATCTCCCGCGTTTCGCAGCTCCATCGCACCACCAACGCCTACGTTCTCACCCCGCGAGGGGCGAAAACGTTGCTCGAAGGCTGCCTGCCGCTTACCTTTCAGCTCGATACGATGATGACGATTAAAGTCGGGAACCCTAAGAGGGGTGGCGAGGCGCTTTCTCATCCTCCTCCTCCTTGTGGGGTAAAAAAGGAAGAATCGAAAGCGCTTTTTGTGCAGGAACCGCGTTGTTTAACGTTGCAGCCGCCACTTATTGTGCAGGAGTCGAGGATGGGAAGCGATATTCAAACCCCACCGCCTTCTTCGTTTGTTTCTTCGTCTGGTTTGGCTACGTCTTCGTCGTCGTTTTCTTCATAAGGTGTGGAGGATTTACAGGGTGCGGCGGTGGGTTCGAAGAGCCCATTGGAGTGAAAAGAGATGCAACGAGGTAGAGGCTGTTACTAAGAGGGACATCCTGCAAATCGAGGAAGCCAATTCTTCTTTCTCTTTTTCTCTACGGAGTAGAAGTACGATGCTGCTCATCTTTCCGCACGACTATTCCTATTCATACACCTTCAACTAAATAGTCAATATATATATATGTATATATATATATATATAACTATCCAAGTTAAGAACATTCCAACCGAAAGCAGATCGCGATGTAACAGCCTTCTCCTTTTATTCACCCCTTTCTTTTTGTATTCCGACTACAATACAAGCTAAAGGAAAGTGTAACAGATCCTTCTATCGGTTTACTTTCCCCCCTTACAATACTCCTATTAATATATATATAGATATATATACGTATATCTATTATCATAAAGAAAGCCATTAGGGGGCGAACCTCGGATTCATTAGACCACCCACCTCGTCCATGTTAAAATTCTTTAAAAAACCCTCCCGTGAGGAGGAGGTCCGGACGTGGACGCGTCGTCTTCGCTCCGAGCAGCGTAAGTTGGACCTTCAGGTCAGCAAAATCAACCGTGAGGAGCAAAAAGTGAAGCTCGCGATGAAACAGGCGGTGAAGGCGAGCGATCTCGTCGCGGCGCGGATGCTCGCGAAGGAGTTGATTCATTCTCGCAAGGCGGTTAGCCGACTTTACGCCGCCAAGGCGCAGATGAACTCCGTCGCTATGCAGCTACAAAATCAGCTCAGTCAACAGAAACTGGTGGGGTGCATGAGCTCGAGTGCGGAGATCATGAAGGACATGAATGCGTTGATTAAAGTGAAAGAAGTCCACGAGGCGATGCGGGAACTTGGAAAGGAGATTCAAAAGGCGGGGATCATCGAGGAGATCACGAACGACGTCCTCGACGACGCGCTCGATAACGAAATCAGCGACAGCGAGCTCGAGGTGGAGGTGAATAAGGTTGTGGAGGAGGTTACGCAGAAACAAATGGAGGGCGCGCGCGTCGGGATTTCGAAGCTGCCGATGAAAAAGCAAGACGAGCGGGAAGAAGAAGAAAAAGAAAGCGAAGAGGAGGCAGAGCTGATGGCTAAACTCAACGCTTTGCGGACTTCCTAATGGTGGAAGACATTATCACACCCCATCCTCTCCATCTACAGAAAATCTGCAAATGAAAAAGAAAGGGAGGAGGTCTTACCAAGAGCCGAAGATGCTATTTTTGGTGATTTTTTTTTTGCGTTCAAATCTATTCGTGATATTTTTGTACTGCAGTCAAAATTTTGTTATTCTCTCTCCCCACCCGCTCTGATGATTTGTATTCATGAAAACTATAGTTTGAAAATACGTGTAGAATATTAGTGGAGGGAGGAAGGAAAGGAATAAATCTGATGCTGCTCTTCCTTTGCATGCAGAACTTTTTTCCTTGTCATTTTGCAGTTTCTAACTTGTCGGGGTAAATGAAGTTCAACAGTAGATGGTGATATATATATATATATATATAAGTATATATTATTTCCTTCTTTTCCCTTTCATGAAGTTCCTTGTTGGGCCTTACGATTTTCTGGGTTGTGTAGAGCGTTCCTGACGAATTCTGTGTAAACTTCTCATTACCCTTTCTCCTTCCCCCTGAAGTACTCATAGCTTTTTCCCTTACGGCAAAGAACGTTGTCCATTTGTTGCTTTGCATTCGGGGAATACTGAAGCAGATTACAATTCTGTCGATTCATGCTTCCCACAAAAGAACTTGCTACGTAAAAATATCGGTGGTAGAATAACAAACACAGTAGCTATTAGGAGCACTAATACGTTTAATTTTGAGGTGAATGTTTATTCGTTCTTTTTAAAGACAAAAACTTTGTCTCTCTCTCTCTCTTGCTTTATCTATACTTCTGGAATAGGATTATCTCGAATTTGGTTATTAGTTTTTTTTTCAGTCCCTCTTCATACTATAAAAGTCAAGTTCGAGAGCCCAAAAAGGGAAAAAACGCATTAGGTAAATTGAAGCATTATATTTTACACTCAACGAGTTCATTGGCAAACTAAAAGGTGTGTGTTGGGTTATTAACGCATTGTAAGCGAGCATAATTTCTTATTACGCATATATATATATATATTCTTTTGGTCTCATATAACATTATTAAATTCCGAAAAGACTTGACCCTAACTGCATAGAAAGTAATATCAAATATTGGGGTATCCTCTTCTTGTAAATAGTGGTCATTACTTACACGTATTAATTATTCTCATTTGTATATTCATTGTTGTAGACGGTACCTTTTCCTTTAACCTTAACTCCTCTCCTGGGCATTCATTCGTGATGGAGGAATGGGAGATTCGGTATGAGGAGGACCTCCAGACCCTCACACACTCAGGGACGACCGTTTTCACGGAAAAACAAAAGTTAAAAAACATCGAGCTGCGCGATGCCGTGCGAGACCTCCTCCCTATCGACGACGATCACAAGGTTAGTGATTGCGATCTTCTCTACCGTTTTCTTATTGGGAAGAAGTGGAATTGCGAGGTGGCGCGGGAGAGTTTACGCGAGTATGTGAAATTCCGAAAAGAGGAGCGCATTAATGGGATTTTAGCAGAGCTGCCGCATCCACAGATCGCGCCGATCCTCGCCGTCATCTACGGGGTTGACAAGGAAGGGCATCCGGTGATTTGGATGTCGCCCGAACACGCGACGTTGATGTCCGTGTTGAAGTCGTTTGACAAGAAAGTTCTGCTGCGCGCGCAGATTCAAACGATGGAGCGCTCCCGTTTCCTGGCGAGGGCGCGTGGGGTGGATCGCTGCACGTATGTCATCGATTTCAAGAAAATTACCTTCTCCAGCGTCAATTCCACCACCTTGGGATTCCTGAAAAGCATGAACAAGATGCTGCAGGATTTATACCCCGAGATTATCAGCCATATTTTCATTTTTAACGCCGGGTGGGTGATCGTGAAGGCGTGGAAGCTGCTTCTGCCCTTTGTGGATTCACGGGTGCAGGAGAAGGTGAAATTTTTCAACGTCTCCCCCTCCCCGGAAAGTTTACGCGAGTTGGTGGAGCCCGAAGAGATCCTTCCGGTGTTTGGGGGAACGGGCTCGATCGACGTCATGGGAGGACTCGTGAAAGCGGAGGAAACCCGTCTGCGGGCGGCCCTTTTAACCGATTCTTCGCCGGAAACGAACGCGGCAGCATCCCCTCTCGGGCGGATCCCAACGCCCCAAGAATCCCCTCGCTCTCGTCGAATCGCCTCATCGGAGGGGAATTTCGGGGCTCCGACGGAAACCTTTCTCGCGGATGTGCTCGTGATTCACGAGCCTGCGCAGCGCTCCCCCTCGGTCCCGACCTCCGGCGCGTTGAACGCGACCACCTCAAGTGGGGAGGAATACGCGGGTTTCGCCTCCGACGCGAGTTTTTGCTCCTGCCGGAGCACCCTCGAAGAAAGCGAACGCGAACGGAAGGCGGAAACGGCGAATTCGCCTCCAGGGTCGCCCACCGTGCGGCTTGAATTACGTCCAACCGTCGAGGCGGGCACCTTGGTGGGGTATTCTGAGGATCGGTGTATTGGCATGTTCAGCCGCGGGCGCGTTTATTGCGAGGTGGACTGGCCAACCTCCAATTCCCCCCGCGCGGTTCCAAAATCCGAATCCAACGCCGCCCTCGTCGTGGAGGATTCCCCGAAGATGCTTTCCTTGAAACTCGCGCCGTTGGAGAGCGCGTTACCCACGCAGGGGTGGGTTTTCGGCGGCGAGCTGCTCCGCGAATCGAAGCATCCCATTCACAGCTACGTGATTATCTGCGATGCGATGCGAAATGCGCGGTTTGTGTTGAAAAAAAGCATCCTACGCAGACAATTAACGATCTTTCGGATTGTTGGCAATTCGAGCGTCATGACGAGCCCCACTCAGAAGCATTCCGTCAAAGGAAAACACCTAAAAGTGGCGGTGGTGGTCCCGACAAGGTCGAACGCCCCGGATGATGGGCGGTGGATGATTCTTTCGAAAAATTCAAGCGGCGAGAAACTCTCCAAGTGGTTTCTTCCTAAACGGTTTATGAACTCGTCGAACAAACCAACCGTGGGAGATCCGTGGAGTCGTGAAACGGCGGAGTTCGTTGGCGGCAGCCCCACCTCAAGCCACGAGATCAGCAGCGAAAAAAATGGAAGTTGCGGGAGTAGCGGTGTGATCGGGTTCTTTGAGAAGGATATTGCTTTTTTCCAAGGCCCTTTGGCGTCTAATTCGCTCCCGATCAGCTTTCTCATGTTGGTATCCATCCGACTCATGTGGGATAAAATGAGGAATATTGAAGAATATTCTTCGAATACATAAATGTATAGATAAAAATTGGAAAATTAAAAAAAGGAAAAGAAAGAAGATCGTAAGAACTATTAAACACTTTCTTTCCCTTTTTTTTTTTAGAAGTGGTCTGCCTCCCCCCTGGTAAACATGCAATGAATGAATGCACAAAAAAAAAGCATTAAAACGCCTCTCTCAGCATCTATATTTCTTTTAAAAAGAGTGACTGATTCAAAGATGGATGGATGTAAATATAAAGAGAAAAATAAATTGGAAAATGATCATTGGGCTGGTAATCGGCGTCATGTACAGTCATATATTTAGGTTGCGATTCAATTGGAAAGAAAAAGTAGGGCTTGGTGAATGCTTGAAGGTAAAGTGGATTGCAATCATACACTATTCCTGTGCATATACATATATAAATACATAATGAAGAAATAATTGGAGCTTTATACTGCTTTGTCGTGCTGTGTGAATGATAATATCAATCCCACAGAATGATAATCTTCATATTTCGAAAAGGGTAACCTTCGACGGGGCGAGAGCTTTCCACATCCTTGCAGGACTGAACCCGAATGTGTTCAAGGAGTTTTTGCGTAGAAGATATTATCCATCCCCTTTTTTTTCACTTTTTCCTCTTTTTTTCCTTTTTTTTCTGGGGTGTGTGCGCGGGGGGGGAGGAGAGGAGTTGGATATCCAAGCCTTTGGAGTGAAGAAAGGCTCGTGAACTGTTGATATCTCATAGATAGCCATCTACGGATCGGTTGATATCTCGAAAGCCTCATTTAGCCGTCGTGACTTCGTTCGAAAGGTGGGGTTAGGGCACCCAATTCGGTCGCACGCTTGCTCATTCTTCCCTCTCTCTCTCTTGTTTTGTCTTTTTTTTTTTCGCTTCGTTCATTCCGCTTATTATTATTATTATTATTATTATTATTATTATTATTATTCGTATTAGGGTTCGTCTTCTCCCCTCTTGTCGCGGATGATCCCGGTGGAGCGGCCTCCGGTGGCGACGCGCGGCCCCTCCTTCTTCACCCGTCTCCGCCGCCGCGTCGAGGGCTGCGAGGTGGGGTTTGAACTCGCGGGAAAATCCCCCGCCGGGCCGTGGCGGCGGCCCGATCCCCCGTTGCCCTGCTACACCGCGGCGGAATCCATCACCGGGCAGCTGTGGCTTCGCCCGACCGGGGCGTTCTACCACCACGCCGGGATTCTCGTGGAGCTCCTCGGCGTGATCACGACCAGCCGCGAGGCCGCGCACCGCGTCGTGTTTCTCCGGCAAGAGCGGCGTTTCGAGCCGGCGGTGGTGCTGCAGCCGACGCCCTTCGCCTTCACCTTCGCAGGGGTGAAGCCGTACGAGTCCTATCGCGGGCGTCGCGCGCAGGTCGCGTACCTCCTGCGCGGCGCCGTCCTCCGGCCGGTG